GAATTGCTGTAAAACTATTCTCCAGAATGACAGGGCCTCTATAGTTGGAGATGCCATTGACTACATCAATGAGCTTAATAGAACAGTGAAAGAACTGAAGATCCTACTGGAAAAGAAGAGGAACGGCACTGACAGGAGGAAGATACTGAAGTTGGATGATGAAGCAGCTGATGATGGGGAAAGCTCTTCAATGCAGCCAGTGAGTGATGATCAAAACAATCAGATGAATGGGACTATAAGGAGCTCCTGGGTTCAAAGGAGGTCCAAGGAGTGCGACGTTGATGTCCGCATAGTTGATGATGAAATAAATATCAAGTTCACTGAGAAGAAGAGAGCCAACTCTTTGCTTTGTGCTGCAAAGGTTCTAGAGGAGTTTCGCCTTGAGCTCATCCATGTTGTTGGCGGAATCATTGGAGACTACCATATATTCATGTTCAATACAAAGGTAACGAACAAATTTTCTTAAACGAAAGTAGGTTCCTGATCCTTTTCCCTGTGTCTGTAGCACAGACATTAGTTATAATACTTCATATCTTGATACTGCAGATACCTAAGGGCTCTTCGGTGTACGCATGCGCGGTGGCTAAGAAGCTCCTTGAAGCTGTGGAGATAAAGAAGCAGGCTCTTAATATCTTCAACTAGTCATACCCATCATAATGTTTATTCAGACAACTTAGCATGCTGGTCTGCTCTTTAGCATCTAATAAGGTGCTTACTTATCAGAATTCAGAGAGTGACCACATTGACAAGACTTCTTTGATGACTGCTGCAAACTTTCTTGATAGCTTGTTCGTGCTGAACTTCTTGTCTTCTTTTCTGTACACTTTAACAGTCATGTTGGAATATGTGGTGCTTCTGATTTGCCGGCATTGCCACTCAATACTTTATTATGTTTAATTCCTTTTCTGAACTTATATAGCAGATCGATTCCACTACCCAACTTACATATGTCAGGTTCAGGTCCAGTGAATGTGTTTGTTTCACAGGAAATGCTACATCTTGATTCTATAAAAAGCTGTTATATACCCAATAATATGATCCGTGTGAAATTTGTCTTGGAGTTATGACACAGAATTGTGGTAGGAATTGTTACTGCATGCTGGCTGGGATGAGATCCTTACCGCGCTATACACAGGACAATCGGTGTGGGTTTCTCCTACAGGCACAGAGTCCATCACGCTCACGATACGGATGACGTCTGGAGATCTAAATGAGTTACCTGAACTCCGGGGGAATCAATCAATCGAATAGTAAGCAAAACAACAAAAGGATACAAGGATTGGAATCAATTTGGCCAGCAGCATCCATACTAGTCAAGATCGCCCTGTTTGCAGAGGCCGACGAACTGGAGCAGGACTGGAGGTGTAGTAGCTGATCCGAACATAAATAATCATTCCACTCCGCCCTTGTACCTGATCTCGCAGATCTCCAGTGCAGTGTGCAGCCGCAGTTTGCTGCCCTAGTCATCTGGCATGCTGCATGGTCTTTAATGTGGCGGAGTTGCTGAATCCTCACGCATAAGGCCAACGTTTAAACTACCCACATTAGTCACACACTTAGCGCCCCTTTGGAACGCAGGATTTTCATAGGCATGTAGAAATTTTACAGGATTCAATTCAATTTTATAGGAAAACACAGGTTTTTAGGAAATTTTCCTACGTTCCCAGGGGACCTTATAGATAATAAAACAACAACAACAACATAAAATGCATAATCTAGATGATATTTGGTATTCGTGTTAAATTGTACAGCAAATTTGATGAAAACATAAAAATGATTAGAAAATTACCTAACTGATGGTGATTTGGTCCGTCCTTGCCTCCTGTATCTTCAGCAGAATAGTCACTGAACTTGAATTAACACACAAAAGTTGGACACTTAAAAGAAATCAGAGATGCAATTTTCACAAAAGACAATTAATTAATGATTAAATGATCCGATTCAACCAATTCAGTTTGTGCAAGTCTACAAAAGTTCGGCATAAATATATAATCGATTTCAATTTGTGCAATTGAAATAGAGATGAAGAAGTATGATATGGGGATTGCCACTTGCCAGATTCGGAGAGACTTCAGAAGGCATAAACAAAAAAGTAAATCGATACAAGCAGCTGCAGTGCGCCAATCACAAACCCTAATGTGATTTTCGAGTTTCTGTGAGACGGCCAGCCGCCCAACCCATATGAGATTAGTAGCACTCACCACTCACCAGCAGCACTCCAAGCCGCCAATGCCGGTCGGCGGCTGCCCGGCTGCACAAGCACGGCGCGCCCCACGTGCTGCCACGCGCGCAGGAGCGGCTGTACGCCTGCAGCATCACCCGATTTGTTTGCACCACTGCTTGCCCCTCGATTTGGCCGAGCTAGCGCTAGGATTTCATGGTGTGGATGTGGAGGGAGGAAGCAGCCGAGGGAAGAGGGATGACGACACGCAGGCGCATACCAGGTGCGCGAGAGGAGAGGCGAAAATTGGTCCGGATCGGAAAATTGGTCCGTAACCGTTTCGGACAAGGACTCCTCTGCGAGTCGGATGAGAGCTGGAGGGCTTAAGTGTAAGAGCCACAGGCATCCGATCTTTAGTTGGGAGGAGCAAACTTTCCCCAATTCCACTGCGAGCGGCGGCGTTCGGCTGATTGCCCGCCGTCTCCTGAGGTTGCCATGTCGCCGTTCGGCCCATGGGCGGGCCTCCCCTCAGAGCTCCTCCTCTTCATCAGTAATGACTGCGGCCTCCGGTTCGAATCCTACTGCCGCCTCCGCGGCGTCTGCACCGCGTGGCGCGCCGCCCTCCCGCCGCCGATCCCTTCGCTCATCACCGTCGCCATCCCGCCCGACGCTCCTCCACGCGACCTCATCCCCAACAGTTACGTCCCGTACCACCCGAGGGAGCGCTCGGTGCAGCTGTCCACCCTGTTCCTCCCGGCGGACTGCTCGTTCCATCTCGCCACGCTCCCCATACTCGGCGAATGCGTCGGCTCCAGCAACGGCTGGCTGGCTGTCACCAACGACATGCTGGAGATCTTCCTCCTGAACCCTGTCGACGGCGGCAAACAGATCCCTCTCCTTCCGCTTAGGAATGACCGAAAGCCGGTACCTAAGGTCGTGTTTGCGCCGCATCCGACGCCCGATGACTACGTCGCCGTGGCGATCTGCGACCTGCGCAGGCTCGCCTACACCAAGACGCGGGACATCAAATGGATGATTATTGACGTCAACATGGAGAAGACGGACAGGCTTGTCGACCTGGCCTACGATACCGACGCCGGCAAGGTGTACTGCGTCACCGCGTGCGGGGACGTGCACGTTCTCCACATCCCCCAGGGCCGGCGGCGGAGGCCCATTGTCGAACCCTTGCAGGTCGAGCGCACCGGCCTCCCGTTCAAGCCGGCCGCCATCTACACCACGCCCTATGACACCGCGTCCAAGTTCACCGGTGTAAAAAAAAACCTTTTTTCGATGGAGGCGTGTACCAGGTGTGGCGGAACACCACCAGCGCTGTCTCTTGGCCCGTTCCGGGAGGCGGTCGGTTTCGCATGGGAAAAGATGAGGTCTTCGTCCTCAAGTATGACCCCGGGCGCCTATCGTGCTGGGACGTGGCTAAGGATCTGGGAGGCTGCGCAGTGTTCATCGGCAAGAACAACCCCGTGGTGCTGCGGCCAGAGGATGCGCCGGGGGTGAGCCCCGACTGGGTGTACTGGATGGATGAGTGGTCCAGGAATGAGCTTATGGTGTTCGACATGGCCACATGAACCTCCACACTGCATCCCTCTTCAGCCAAAGTACTGAATCCCTCATGCAGACCAGCCTGCTGGTACTTTTTGGATGAGAATATTATGAGCATCAGGGACAATGGAAGGAAACGATGCATAAGTAGAGAGGATTGTGGGCCAGTAATGAAGAATCGGAAAGTGCATTAGGGCTGGACAGAAGATTCATTAAGGTTCTTATGCGTTCCTGTGTACTGTATGAGGAGGGTCATGCCCTTTATGTTCCAAATTATTATGCATTATGAAATGCTTGGTCTCCTTGCAATGGTAGCCTAGCCTCCCTAAAACTCCTTGCTAGCAGAAGAGCTGATTTGGTTCAACCAGGCTGAGAGGAAGATAGCACAAGGAACCAAAGACATATTTAGTTGTTCCAAGTTACCATCAGTTTGAGTAAACACTTTTTTTTTACTTATTTATCATGTAAATTTGAGTCATTTGGTATGAAATGTTTTGTATGCTTTTGATTATGTTGGCTGCAGCATGGTGTTGACGAACATGTGAGTTTGGGAAGATATTTTGCTGGTAAAAAGCCGTTGCCAAAGAAATTTCTGTCTGTTATTTGGTCTTTCATTTAACAGGTCACAATGTTAGAAGAGTTATGTGGGTGTTAGAAGTGTGATGTAAGGTGTTACGGCTTATAAACCCTATGGATCTCAGGTGAGTTGGTGTAGGTGAGCCTGAATAATTAACCAGGGGATGTGCCTGAAATGGAAGCAGACATCAACTGTGCTACTTGTCTACATCGCTCTAAAAAGACTTCAAATATCTATGGAAAGGTAAATCCACTAAACATTAAAAAAATTGTTACTGTTGTTTAGAGAACCAATCTTTTCAAAAAGAGTAAATTGCACGATCGGTTCTTAAAGTATTGGACTGATTTCGTCTGGTTCCCTAAACTATGAAACCGCACTCTTGGCTCCCCAATCTACTTAATTCGATCCATCTATGTCCTAAATAGCCCAGGCGGTGTCAAGCAACCCACGTGGCTGTCTACGTACGCAGGGGAGGCACGTGAGGCACACGTGACCCTCGACAGTTGCTGGCTTTTTAGCAAGAAGGCCCCCGGACGATCTCATCTTCTCCCACTCACTCCTTTTCTTTCTCTCGGACCTCGACGAAAGGGGGAAAAGGGGCGGAGCGTGGCGACTGGTGCCGTTCACAGCGGCGGCGCTGGCAGAGAGCGAGTATGACCCAGTGGCTGCCCCTTGAGGGCTCTCTAGGCACGGGCGGTGGGGGAGATGGCCGCCGAATCGAGCTCGGTGGCGGCGACCAGGAGGCGCGGTGATGAGCCGCGACCGATTACGTGCCCGAATTGTCATCGTCATAAGGTAGTAAAGTGTCGTTCGAAGCAGCCTTGGTCCTTGGATCAGATCTTCTACACCTGCCCAGATCACAATGTAAGTTAGGTTTGCCAGTTTGAGTTCATTCTAAATCCGAGTATTAGAGTCTAAATTTTCAGTATGTGTGCTATGTCTATTTGATGAATCTGCAGAAGGATGGAACTGGTTGCCCATTTTTCCTTTGGGAGGCAGGATACATCAACCACTTGGAGACAGAAGCAGCAAAAGAAAAGGCAGCTGGGATGCAATCTGATGAAGTTACTGAGAGCCTTTTGGAGAAGAATGTCGACCTAGGAAATAGAGATGCCACAGCTGTTGAAGTAGAGCATGCCACAGCTGTTGAAGTAGAGCTTAGAACTTTGATCAATATAGGATATGATATTGCAGGGCTCTTGAAATGCATTCTCTGTATGTGCTTGATAATTGTAGTTGTGCAACTGTTGCTAGTGTTTGTTCAGATGAAGAAGTGAATGGTGAATGTGAAGTAGGTTTGGGGAGTAGGAATGCTTTTGTTTATGTGTGAACTCGTAATATTTCCATGTAAGAACTGGTAATGCTTTATGGTATTGATCATGCATGTTATCTGGCTATAATTTGTGGTATTTGTTACTGCAATTTCAAAAGAACACATTTCACTTATGCAAACTGCATTGTGATGCTTAGCAACCAAAGTTGTACATCCAGCCATGAAGTTGTACATCCAATCATGAAGTTTGTAGCCTAAGACAATGGCATTGCATCACATGCATACAGCCATCTACACTTGGACAGCTGTAGTTCAGTGTAGGCATCCCTATACAAGATGTAGACTTTTGGCATGCATACTAGTGTTTATGCATTACAAAAGATGTTGCTATCCACAAAAGCAACTATACTGCTACCCTATTCCATGTTGGCATGTTGCTATCAACAAAAGGCAACTATATTGCTTTCCAATTCCAGTCACAAAAGTCAGGTTGGCATGTCCACCGTTTCATGCAGCATTTTCAGTTGTGGTCTTCTTCCCTTGAACTCCTCCAGTCTTCTTGCCCTTCTTCCCTCCACCTTGTCTAGCTTCTTTGCTCTCGCCGGCAGTAGTTACTTTCTTCTTGTTCACTCTTGCCCCGCCTGCTTTAGTTGCAACAGTGATAACTACTGGTATTGCAGTTGGCTGGTTGGACTGAATGAAGGTAGAGTCTGGTAAGTGTCGGAGACCAATACTAGGGTACATGAAGAGGAGGAGCTAATGACCATCAACATTGATTCATCCGAGCAATCAAGAGCGCGACTACAGCTCCAACCGACCCCAGGCACGCTAGCTCCGCCTCGCTCGACCTCTGGGAGGGTGCTCCGCCTCGCCCGACCCTAAGACCGCAGGCTCCACCTCACCCAACCCCGAGGTCACGGGCTCCTCCTCGCCCGACCTCGAGGCCACGAGCTCCGTGTCGCTTGACCCCAAGGCCGCGGGCTCTGCCTCGCCCAACCCTTGGGTTTGCACTCCGCCTCGCCTGACCCTTGGGTTCGTGCTCTGCCTCGCCCGACCTCTGGGGGCGGGATCCGCCTCGCTCGACCCTAAGGTTGCGGGTTCCGCCTCGCTCGACGGAGACCCATACCGCCGCCAACCACTCCAGGTCCAAGCGTATAGGCCTGGGTCAAAACTCTGACACCAAGGAAGAGACCGGCATGCCCCGATGTAACCCATGGCCACGATGGGTCATACCTAAGGATTCACATCAGGAACAACGTTGGACATACCAGTGCTGTTCTACCTAACCCCCATACGAACACTGATAGGCGCGTCAGCTCACCACGACGTCTGATGCGATGAAATGTAACGCCACGACCGGTAGACGACGCCTACGTATGGTACCAGTGACGGATAGGTCTGCGACGTGGAGCTATCCCTGTTGACATCTACAGGGTTGGTGGGACCCGCATGAAGGAGAAGAAAGACCCGACGATCCTAAATGACTTCTTCTCCCTCTCATTCTTCTCTTTTCCTCCGCTGTAACCCATGCTTTCCCTTGGCCTATAAAAGGGAAAGCAGGGCGTCCCATGGAGGGCGATCGACCCATCGAGGACTGATCAGATCCAACCCCAAACCGATCAGATCCAGATACACACAAGAGCAGCAACCGAGCTCTCAACACCCTTTCACTCATTTCACTAGAGACTTGGGACCTGTCCCTCTCTCACCTATTTGTAACCCCTACTACAAACGTTTAGTGCTAGTAACATAAACAACAGTGATGAACTAGACATAGGGACTTTCTGTCCGAACCAGTATAAACCTTATGTCCTCTAAGCACACCATCCGAGCCAGACGCGCAATACTATAAATTTACTCATCGGTGGTAACTCGAAACACCGACAGTTGGTGCACCAGGTAGGGGCCTTTTGTGCGTCTCAACGTCCATTTTAGGTCTTGGATGGCCAGTCACGGCGTCAGTTGGGTCCCGGGCGCCCACGTGCGCTTTAGGGACCTGGACTTCATCATCACAATGGAGGGAGAGTTGGCGCAGGCCCCCACCGCTATCCAACCTCTCCACTCCGCCAGCCTCGACACGATCGCTGAGGCGCTTAAGGAGCTGCAGCTGCACGCACCGGAGGCCCACACCCCCGAGAGCGACTAGCTCCTTGGCTTCGACTACGGGAGGTTAGAGCACCAGCTCGGCGCCTTCTCAGGACCCTGACCATCTCGGGAGAACCTACGCCACCTCACCTTCTCGTTTGCCAATGTCATGATGCAGCTAGCCGGGGGAGAGCCGCTCTCCCCAGAATACCTCATCCTGAGTGCCCCGACAGCGCTCCCGTCTGGTCTCTCTGCAACGCCGTAGAGACGGTTGGCCACCTTGTGGCGCAACACACGCCTCCATCCCCCGCGAATGACGAGTTCATGGGGATGACCGAATATGTCGTGGAGTCTTTCCATGACCTCCTCGCAGGAGACACGGAGTTGCCCTCCACCTCTGACTCCAGCAGGGGGAGCCATCACCCCTCTCATGAATGTTTCATGGCAGGTACCCCCGAGGGACATGTCAAAAGCATCCACGAGGAAGAGGCTACCCCAACGAATGACCTCGATGACGAGGTCGAGGGGGATGTAGGGGCCCCACCTCACTTGCGATGGAGCAGTTGAAGGCCCAGCACCAAGAGCTCAAGGAAGCGCGACTCTAGCTCGAGCAAGAATGTGCGGAGCTTGAGCAAGAGATCGAGCGCCATGGAGACAGTGGGCGTGCACGCACCCTGGCCTGCGACGTGAACCGAAGGATCATCGAGGATGATGAAGCGCTCCCACACTTCGCCCAGGCAAGTCAGAATATTGCTGCTGCGGTGGCCTTGCTCTGGGGGCTTTCGGGGCCCGTGACGCCCAAGGATCATCGGGCCCATCGTCAGATTCGCACACTACTCGAGCGTGTGGCGGTGCAGCAGGCCGAGAGCTCACTGTCCCGACGACACAAGCTCGACGCCAGCCAGCGCACGCCCTCAGAGCGACCCGATAAGGATGCGTCAGTCCACCAGGTGCCACAAGGCGGCAGGCCACGTATCGCGGTCCTGGTGCATGAGCGTCTCGGCCACCACCATGATGCACGTGACACCCTTGATGCCCGCAGGCGTGCCCGCGGCGATGCGAGGGAGGGGGCTAGCCACGGCTACCACCCTCATCGTGGTGGATGCTACGATAGCAGCGAGGACTGAAGCCCGAGCCCCGACCTATCGGGACCTCTAGCCTTTGGCCAACACATCATCAATGCTGTCTTCCCATCACGGTACTGACCACCAATCAACATCCTGAAATACTCCAAGGAAACGAACCCCAGACTATGGCTCAAGGATTATTGGCTTGCTTGCCAACTGGTGGAGCAGATAATGGCCATTTCATTATCCGCAACCTTCCATTGTTCTTGGCCGATTCGGCGTGAACGTGGTTGGAACACCTTCCGCCCAACAGAATACAAAGTTGGGTGGACCTAAAAGAGATCTTCATGGGAAACTTCCAGGACACATACGCACACTCTGGGGACCCATGGGATCTAAAAAACTACCGACAGAAGGCCAGTGAAACTCTTCATGGGTACATCCGACACTTCTCTCGGTAGTGCAATGAGCTGCCCAACGTCGCCAATGCCGACATCATAGGAGCCTTCCTGTTTGGGACCACCTGTGAGTCCTTAGTCCATAAGCTAGGACATAAGGGCCCGTGAACCACCAAGGAGCTCCGCGACATCGCCACCAGCCATGCCTCGGGCGAGGAGGCGGTCGAGGCAATTTTTGATCGCCTCAAGGGCAAGGCGGAGCGGGACGAGGACACCAATGATGGCGCCTCCAACCGTCCTAGCAAGAAGAAGAACAAGCAGTGGTGCGAGGGCTCGCTCGTGTCCGCCGCCGACCGTAAGGGGGGTCGAAAGCCCGTCGAGGGCACCCTAGACCACTTCGAGAAGCTGCTCGAAGGACCATGTACAAACCATGCTTTCCTCGTCAAGCATCTATATAAGGACTGTGGTCTCATGAAGCGGTTCTTGTCCGGAGGCTCCAACAAGGCAGAGCATAGGGGGACCCCAAGCTGGCCATAGACGACGTCGATGGGAAGGACAATGACTTTTTGATGCTGGATGGCTGCCTCATGATCTTCGAAGGGTCGGCGGCCTATGACTCCAAGTGCCGCTAGAAACTTGTGTGCCGTGAGGTCTATACGACCGAGACAGCCACGCCTTCCTTCCTCTGATGGTCAAAGTCTGCCATAACCTTTGATTAGACCAACCACCCGAAAAGCGTCCCACAGCCGGGACGATATCCGCTAGTGGTCGACCCGATCATCGGCATGAAGCGGCTCACCAAGGTACTGATGGATGGAGGCAGCGGCCTCAACATCATGTACGCTGAAATGCTCGATGCCATGGGCATCGACTGTAGCACCCGGTTTTAAAGACAAAACCAGATACACACTATATGTGAGCTCAGGAAGTCAAATCTCACAGATAGCCACAAATAAAGGTAATATCAAGAGACAATACTTATTACATAACGTATTAGTAAAAAGAAAATAACCTCAGAGTATAGATAGCGTAAAGTTGACTCCGATCTTTAGGCGAAGACTCCAAATCCACAGGGACGACTGACAGGTTGACCACAAGCCTAACTCCTCCAAACCAGCAATCTGGTTCCCATCTGGGATTTTTATCCAATGTATAGAAAAGTAAAGCAAGCATAAGTACATGTCGTACTTAACAATTATATCATGGGGTTCATGAGGCTCAAAAGGCTGACACTGGTTTAACTGCGATTAGCTTTAATAGGTCATCTTTTTAAGCAATTGAGTGGCAAAGGATTTATCATTCCCATAAACACATGATCAGGTAAACATGATTAATGTATAGCATAAACAATCAATTATTAGCATCATCATTATCCATTAGTGATCATCTCTATTCCATAAGGGTCCAAGGCCGCTCGTGTCCGTGAGCACGACTGTTATAACAGTTTTATACTC